TAATATAATATAATATAATATAATATAATATAATATAATATAAATAAGCAAATAAGCAAATAATACAGAAAAATGAACTGTGAGCCTCTCTAAGTGAAACAGCAATTGTTTCAAGAATTTCTGGTGCTTTGAGGAAATGGAAAATATGAAACCGTATTCAAACAGAGCTTGACTTCTCTGGCATTGCTATCTTATCATTTTTAGAAAACCACCTAAAACCATCTAGTGAGCTCACAATCAGATAAGGGTGATGATTTCCTGTCTCATCTTTTGCTGCCCTGTTCTGTCCTGGAGAACAGCAGTTTTCTTTCTTTTTCTCTTTCTCTTTCTTTCTTTCTTTCTTTCTTTCTTTCTTTCTTTCTTTCTTTCTCCTTCCTTCTTCCTTCCTTCCTCCTTTCGTCCCTTCTCTCCCTCCCTCCCCCCTGTTCTCTCCCCTCACTCATTCACTCATTGTCTTTCTTTGAGGAATTCAGAAAAGCTGGCAGCAGTCCCTCCCCCTGTTCGTTATCTCTGCAACAACAATCCTTTGAGGTAGACTGGGCTGAGAAAGAATAACTAGCGGATGACCAGAAGACTATAGTAATTCATGTGATGAATGTACAGCTCCTCATGATTGTATCTCACCTTTCATCAGCTGTAGCTTAAAACCTATCACACGCAAGTACAAGTTAGCATCTCATTGTGTTCCCAAACAAGTGAATTTCATCTCACAATGCTGTCATTTTCCTGAAAGAATTGAAATGCTATCTTTAAAATGTACAGCCATGTTTGCTTTTTGAGCTGACAAGTGATTCCTTGGCCTAGAATGTCAAAAGAAGGTTGCTTGACAATCGAGTGGACTCTATTATTCTCCATAATGAATCTTTTCACATAAAGACAGTATATCTTGAGAACTGTGTTATCGGCTAATTCCTGGATGAGTAGAGATTTCATCAAACCAATTCACACTCTAATACAGGTTCAATGAACACGAACAACTAGCATTTCTAGGAAGAAAATTGTACGCTCCCTAGGGAATATTTTATTTTATTATTTTATTTTATTTTATTTTATTTTATTTTATTATTTTATTTTATTTTATTTTATTTTATTATTTTATTTTATTTTATTTTATTTTATTTTATTTTATTTTATTTTATTTTATTTATTTTATTTTATTTTATTTTATTTTATTTTATTTTATTTTATTTTATTTTATTTTATTTTATTTTATTTTATTTTATTTTATTTTAATATTTTATTTAATAGGTAGCATGTCACCTACTGAATGAATAGTTAGGGATGCTTGAGGCATTTGCTTTTTGTAACAGGGAGATTATACAAACTGACTTGATTTGCATATTACAGATTAAGGTGCAGTAGACCTTTACAGTTTTTTTATCATTCCAAATTTTGTGATGCCCTATTTTGTGCAAAAGAAATGTAATGTTTTCAAAAAGTCAGAAGCATTCAAAATAGTACTTTACTATTGATAATAGTGGAAGAGCAGCCCCCCCACCTCCTGCCCTTGGGTGAGCATGAGCTGTCTAGGGGAAGATCCCTGGGCCAGGTGCAGAAGATTTTCTCTCACCAGCAGAAAGATTTTTGGTCTGTCTTAAACAGGATTAAAAATTGCAATTCATTTACCAAGGGTGCTGCTGGTATGCAAGGTGCCCTTGTACAGAATTCCATTAGTGTCCCAGCAAGTTTTTAAATATTCCAGCTGTGTGAATATGCACTTGCTTGTGGTTAAAAACATATTTAATATTCCAATTAAATATTTTCTACACCTTGCCTCCTCTTTATGCGGCACCTTTGTGCAACGCCAGATTGTGGTGGCCTTTGGGACAGTGTCTTTCTGTGTTTTCCACAGCATGTCCCCAGTTAAATAAACTAGGACTCCAGCCTAAGAGTATTTAAATGTATGCTATTGAATAGATATGCTATTAGACAGCAATCTGTCTCCGTTTAATTTTTCCTTCCTTTGGGTCCTTTCTGAGGGACAGGCCTAAACCCAATAGAAATGGAGGCCTCTTCTTGCTAATATGAAACCTCCTACCCTTCCCTTTCCTTTCATCTGCCTCTCAGTATGCTAATGAAATGCATCTGATGCCATCAGATAAAGTTTATGTCCTTTATGACAGGAAAGGACAAGCTGACAAATGAGCCTCGGTGACGGTATTTGGGGGGACTGAATTAATCCCATTATTCAGTCTGCCTTTAATGCTGGAGCTCTCAGTGTCTCTCTGTTGCTGCCAACATCTGAAAATGGCCTGGTCTCTCTCTCTCCCTCTCTCTGATTTTCTTCATCCCATATGCTTTTGTGATTCTGTGATTGTTTCCCTATATTGATCATGTCCATGTGGGTGTTCTGACACTAATGATGCAGTCTCTCACAACTGTCTTACTCATCACAAACACAAGATGGGAATCCCAGCGTGTATGGCCTGATGTGCAGAGCTGGCTTTCTCTCTGCCCCTTGAAAACCACAAGGCTAATAATCATCTCTTTACCTCTGCCCCGTCCATCTCCTCTGGCTCCTCTTCAATCCTTATCTGTTAGGTAGCACATCTGGAACCTTGGACATTGCCCAGAGAAGTAGGTAGAGTCAGAAAACAGCCATGGATTGCACCCCTGTCTACAGTAATCTATTAGACCAGGGATCTCCAACCTTGGCAACTTTAAGACTTGTAGACTTCAACTCCCAGAGTTCCTCAGCCAGTTGGAGACCCCTGTATTAGACAACCCCCAGGTGACAGCATTATCATTGGAAGGTATCCCGAGTCATCTCTAAGCAAGATGGGCAGTATATAAGTTTAATCATAAGTAAAAATAAATTTGTGAAATCATTGATCTGCTATGATATTGATAATTCCATCTAATAAATATAGGTTCAATATAAATCAAACAAACTCTTCCAGCAGAAAAAACAACCCTTGAGTGATTTGAAATACTTTTTTATGGTTATTCATGTTTACCAGTGGGAATATTGATCCCATAGAAAATACTGCTTTCATGAGATCAATATTCCCATGTTCAACTCCCCACCACCACTATCAAAACAGGAAAAAAGCTGGCTGCATAAATAAGAAGTCTGGATTTCTTATAGCCACAATTAAATGGCTATGAAGACCCATGGCCCATTGACTGGACAGGAGTAGTCATCTTACAATGACCACTAAAGCCGAGTGAATTTCTGACTATATCATTTGAAGCTTCTTTGAGATGTGAATTTTATATTAGGGAGTTTTGAATTGGGATAAGAGGAAAACATCCACTTTCATACTAGAATTTCTTAAACCAATGTCAGATTCCCACTGCTGTGGCTAGCAATGAAATAGACATGTTTTCTAAGAATGGTTAATGGGGTCTGTTCTTCCCACTGTAAATAGGATATGACGTTGAGCCTATACTGTTACTTTAACAGTATTAACTTGTACTATGTTTTATCCTACATGATCCTCTGTCACTTGGAGGTTATAATTAAGGAGGATTTGATTTCATTTCCACTGTGTGGCTGTTTGAGGAGAATATTCTGGTCTGTTGGTTGCGCTATCCTTTTGCACACATCACTAAAGCAATATTTATTTTCCCCATTATCTTTGAGTTCTTTGCAGGACAATACCAAAATGACAATATCAAAAGAGCCTCTTTCACCTCCGTTCTTTTTTAATTTGACTTTGATTTCCTAAATGCTTATGAAAATGTTTCACCCTTATTTCCTTGACTGTTAAATGCTAGTGACAATCTTGTGCCATAGGCCTATCTTCCCTCATTCCTTGCATACATTTTCCATGATTATCTGCAGAGTTAACCTTTTAGTGGGTGAATGTTTCTCCTATTGGGTAAAACTTTTGTCCTCTTCCTTTTGTTCTCCTATCAGTTTAGACTTTATTTTATTTTATTTTTTAAATGATATATATAGCAGGAGTGTAGCAAAGGTCTCTCCTCAGGGGGTGCATAAAATCATTCCAGATACGAGTTTGATATATGTGTGATTTGTTCTGATTGGAGCTAATGTAAAGTACTCCCCTCCCCATGTCACTTTCTTGTACTTAAATTTATTGTAGTCTGGAGCCCCTGCCTTGAGTTTCAATGGAAAAGGGGTCAGGTTAGATTCAGGTTTAGCTTCCTCTGGGATTTAACTTTGAGATGAGGGATGTATCTAGACTGCCACATCTCACAATGAATCAATGTGGAATATGTGACTGCAGGGGGAGAAAAGGCATGCAGCTACAGTGTAAATGCTTGTTTTTGAAATGGGAGCCTTCTGTGAAATCAGGACCTGCATATCAAGCATCATACTGACATCCTTCTGATTGTGAGTGACAGCCTCCTAACAGCACAGGGGGAGGGGAGAAAAGAAAGTTGGGGGAAGCAAGAGAAGCTGGGAATTCTACAGACATTTTCTAGTATTCATCCCATCCACCTATCCACCCACCCACCCACCCATCTATCCATCCATCCATCCATCCATCCATCCATCCATCCATCTATCAATCTATCTATCATCTAGCTATTGTCTATCATCTATCATCTATTTTCTATATCTATCCAGACACCAGCAGATATGGAAACACACAGAGATATACAGACACACACACATCATTTGGCAGTGTATAAAGAAAATCCCAAATGAGAATTTAGCATGGTGGTCCTTCAACACAGATGACAGCAAGGGATTATGAAAGAGAATAGAAAAGAGGAGTGGGCAATGAAATAGAGTGTATGGATAGGGCATGTCAAACTGCTTGGGACAATAAATTGCAACATTTTTGTATTCCTTCCATGTTATAGATCTTGTTGTTGTCCATGATGATGTAAAGTTATAAAAGATGTGATGGCAAATATTTTTTTTAATCTCAGCAGACATTGCATATAAGTCTTGGTTCATGCTCTTTGGGTTATCCTTTCAATAGGAAGAAGAAATAGCTTGCAGTAAGAATGAATAAACAAATGATTTTTTTCTAATCAATCCTGTTATCCTTAGTTGATTGGTTTCCTCTCATCTTCTAATCTAGAGCCTTACAGCCCAGCTGTGTGGGTGATGATGTTTGTGATGTGTCTCACGGTTGTTGCTATCACAGTCTTCGTGTTTGAATATTTCAGTCCCGTTGGCTACAACCAGAATTTAACAAGTGGCAAAAGTAAGTAAGTTTCCAAATGGCTCAGTGGATGAGTTGCTTTACTTGGGTGGGGAGGGAGGAAAGGACAAAAAGTGGTATTATTCTCTTATTAAACATTTTCCTGCCAGTTATTTCAATGAAAGAGACTAACAAAGTCCAAAGGTACTTGCCAATTGGCCTTTTCCAAGCACCCTAAGGAGAATGAGAGCCCAGAATGAACAGAAAGGTTTGAAGTAAGCAAGGAGTGGAAAAATATAGAGCATGCTGTCTTATTGTAATCCAGTGATTCAGTGATTCTCAACCTGGATGCGGGGCAGGGGGGCAGGGGCAGGATGTCATCACAGAGGGTCCGCAAAGCCTTGAAGAAATATTATGATTTAAATCTTTAGTTAAGTCTTGGGGGGGGGGTGTCCATGATCATGGTCCATGGCCACAAAGAGTATTTAAAGGGGGTCCATGGTGAAGAAAAGGTTGAGATGCACTGTATTAAACCTCATGCATAAGAGAAGAGGTCTGCCACTGCAAAAGATAATGTCTCCAATTATTAGCTTATAAATACTTTCTGTATTTTGCATGGAACCCATTGCAGTCCCTGCCCATGAAGAGTCATACATTTCTGTTGCTCCCAGGATCCCCTTTGGTCTGATTCCCAGAACAAGAACTCTTATACAGCTTAGTTACAGGGATGTGCAGTCCTTCAGAGCAAGTGGGGACTTGCTATTGGACCTCTGTGTCAGCTTTGGAAGCCATATTAGCACCAGACGCTTCCACACTGCCTGGGAAAGTGGGAGAGGGGAATTTCTTGGAGTGTACATGATTAGACATAATAGCATTCTTCTCCTAAGTCAAGGTCATGTTATTTCTGCACCTGGTTGAGGGGACATCTCAAGTTGGGACAGATGGTGATTGCGGCATGTGATGCCATGAGGGGTGCAGGGGGTGGATTTGTAATTTTTTACTTATTGCAAGGAAACCCAAAACTTTCAGATTCAGGATTTCCCAGATGTGCCAGTTTACTACTCCAATAAAAGGAACCTTGGAGAGGATGTCTGTCTCGGAGTTATTGGTTGGAGTTGAGATTTTCTGGAACGCTGACACTCTGCATCTCGGACATCTATTTCCCCGAGATTGTGCAACTGCCATGTAAGCCCAGGAAAAGGCACAACGTTTTGAAGGAAGCACTAGCAAGGGCAGCATATCTGCCAATATTAATTCTGAAGGGCTGCACATGCCTGGTTAATAGGATAATTTTTCATCCAGTGGTAAAGCAGCAATGAAGCAATATATGTCATTAATTTATTTGTAATTGTTCCCAGATTTGTACAGCCATAAGTGCAAACTTGGCAATTCCCGTTGATCTCTAATACTCCAATACTTGAAGGGCTGCCACAAGGGAGAGGGGCCAACTTACTTGCCAAAGCACCTGTAGGCCAGGCAAGAAACAATGGATGGAAACTAATGAAGGAGAGAAGCCACCTAGAACTTTCCTAACAATGGGAACAATTAACCAGTGGAATGGCTTCCCTTCAGAAATTGTGGATGCCCCAATATTGGAGGCTTTTAAGAAGAGACTGGACAGCCATCTATCAGAAACAGTATAGGTCTCGGGCAAGAGCAGGGGGTTGGACTAGATGACTTCCAAGATCCCCTCTAATTCTGTTACTATTGCTGTTACCTCCTATACACATGGGTGACAGATAAGGAAACAGGAACTTGGACAATAGATTGGAAGTCTAGCAAATCTTGGGTGAGAAATCAAAAGGTTGTTCAAAAGCTTAAAGATATTTTTTACACTTCATTAAACACTGAACCTACTCGATTGCAAGAGACCACATCTGTTAGGACTTGAGTGGATTTTTTTAAAATGAAAAGAGTCATCCAAGAGTCTTTTGGGCAAGCTATATAGACCAATCAAATGCAAAGGAGAACAATGTTCGAATGGATATATAAAACTGAAAATGTCAGAAAATGGCTTTTCTCACACCCTCTCCTAAAATTCTGACCTCTCTACAATGATTAAAAGATTCTCCTTTGAATTCTGTAGGTAGTCCTATAAACATCATGCCCTTGACACTGTTTTGATTTGATCCACAATTTAAAAAAAACATTCCAGGCCACATGGTGGCTTGTCCTTTATTTTATTTTTATTTTTTTGTTATTTTGACCCAGGCTGCTGCTAAGCATTGTGTGAAAATCGCTCCATTCTAGGTCTGCTCAGTTCTTCAACCATATCTTTGCTCCTGAACTGTCATCAGCAAGCTAGATTAGCCTGATCTGCAAAGGTGCCCGTAGGCTTCTTGAGCAGGTTCCCCAACTAATGGGTCCCACTTTTTAGAGATTTAGAGAGCTTTCTCACAGCTGCTTTTAGATGCAAGCTGCTGTTGACCTCTATCCTTGATAAAACTTATACATCCTGACATGTAGATAATGAAAAGGGTGTGAGTGGAATGAATTCCTTCCTGACTGCCCATTGCCACCTTTGTTCAGTCATCTCACCTTCCAGAGAATTTCTCACCTTGGAAAAGTTGTTGTTGTTCAGAGATTATAGTTAAGGATGCTGGGATGAGATGGCAAACTAAGAAGAGCCTAGAGTAAAAATAAGCAATCTTTTTTTAGCTTCCATCATGTTCTTTGGCAAGATGCAGGACACCTGGATGCTCCTGATTGCTTTGCCTTATTGGAATCTCTCTGTCTCCCTCCCTCCCTCCCTCCCTCTCTCCCTCTCCCTCTCTTTCATACACACACAGAGTACTTTACTTTTTCAGATTGTTATTTTGTTTGTTGCATTCTTAATTTAAAGCAAAAAAGACTGTCCTAATATAAGGGAAAAAAAATCAGAACTTGGGCGCATCACTTTGCTTTCCTCCAGGTTAGAAATTGAAGGAATCTCCATACCAAAATGTTCTGTTGTGATTTTTTTTTTTTTGAGACTTTTGGGTAATGTGGAGAAATCAAGAACATGAAAACAGTGAAGACTCTCGGAATTCCAAATCAGTTAACTCCTTCCAAACCATTGCCATCAAGATTAAAGTCTGCAGGCTGTATATTTCTTCCAAGCCATTTTCTAAATATTCTGAAAGAATATTTAGAGGAAAAAGTAAGACCTACCAGGCACACTTTTCTTGGCTAGGGTGGCCTGCCAGAACATAAGACTGAATTGTTTCCAGACTTCCGGTTTGAGCTTCTTCAGCAACAGACCGAAACCTCATCTCTGTGAGGCTTCGATCCGTGCTCACCACTGGAGCGCCCTGAGACAGCTGGTTTCGGGGCTAAGCCACCCCGTAGAGGTGGTGAAGAGGGGGGAGACTGCCTGCAGGGTTGAGGAGAGCCGCATCTCTCCTCCCCAGCTGGCCATTACTCCCTTTCCCGAAGGCGATTGCAGCGGTGGTCAGAAATGGCCACCACAAAGAAGAACTCGACTGGAAAAGAATGTGCAGGAGGAAGATAACAGGAGAAAGTTTTGGTTGACCGGGTCAAACAGCAAAAGCAACAAATAAGGTACCCTGGAATTGAAACTATTAAAAAACAATAACGTTGCTCCCTAAGTAGATTTTTAAGCTGCAAAGGAGAGAGAAAAGGGAAAAGATTTGGTTTTTTTTCCTCCTTTTCCTATACTGACAGCTAAGAGACTTAAGCAAGAAATTGGAAAAAAATCCACTTTGACATCAATAAGCATTTAATGCTGAAAATAAAAAGTCAAAGGGATAATAAAGATTTCTGGATAATTAAAAGCTTTTGAAAACAGGAAAGGAGAGAAAAAGAATAAAAGAGCAGGATCTGGAAGGGAGGAGACTGCCTGGAATTAAAAAAGAACTTACAGCAAAATCTCAACAAGACTTCCAAAAGATACATTCTAACTGAAATATCGCAACAAAAACCCCAGGAAGAGAAAGTCGAAAAAGAAATAAGAAGATATAACTCGGGACTATCTGGATTACTTGATGATTTCTGGATCCTTGGTTATTGTTTTGAATGACTAAAATCAATCGGGTGGTTGTTTAAAATTGTTTAAAATGGCTCCACTTTTAGAAGAACTGAAAATGGAACTTAAAAAGTACAAAGAAGATGCACAAGAAGGGAGAGGTTCTTTTGGCTTTGTATTTCAGTTTTTAGAAATGGAGATTTGGAATTATGAGAAACAACAAGAAATGCCTGCAGAACAAGAACATTGAGACAAAGAAGAAGCCATCTTTAATGAACAAGTAATCTTAGATGGGAGGGGGGAAAGGAAAGGGGGGAAAGAGAATGGAAAGTTTAAGATTGGGAAAAACAACTCCAAAAAAAAAAAAGAGTGAAAAATAAGTATAAAATCAGAAAGCAACAGAAGAGGGAAATGCAGAAGAGAGAATTAGAAGTAGAGAGACAAGGGGGTAAAAGGGGGAGGGAGAAGATGAGAGGGAAGAAAGAAAGGAAAAGAAGTCATAAAGGACAGAAACAAAATATAGAGAAACAGGGCCTATTTAGAGATAATGGGTGAAAATTTAATGGAAAAAGGGATTCTGCAAAGGTACGTAAGATAGTATGGTTATATTAGAAACATAAATAATTTCAGAAAATATGAAACAATGTATGATTAAAATGACTGATAAAATAGCTATCGTAATTCAGTGGAATGCTTGTTAATAAATAAATGTAATAAAAGGTATATTTAATGATTTATAAAACATATGTGAAGAGAAATAAGGGAAAAATTAATTATGGAGATTATATGTGTTTTTAAGGAAGTGTGATATTTAATTGAAAAGAAGTGTTAAAGATGTTAAGATTTTAATGATTATTAATGATAGAACTGAACTGGAATGGAATGAGGGTTTATAATTACATATATTCACAATCTTTTTTTTTTTTTTTTAAAGAATATAGTGTGTATTTTAAGAATGTACCAAGCAGAATTCGATTGGAAGTTATGTATTATGTATTATATTGAAGGTCATAACCTTAAGGTATATATTAAAGTTTAAATAAGAGTTGAATGGATGTAATTAAAAGATATAAAGGTGTCATACTCCAATTAGTAACTACAGGAGAAAATTTGTTTAATGAGAAAAGATCATATGAAATTGAAACAGAACAGACAAAAGTATAAATATAATGATTTGAATTCAGATGAGATAATCAAAATAAAATTGAGAAAATTAAAAGAGGGGAAAAACTATATAGAAAATGTAGAATAGTATAAGATATGGAATAGAATACAAAAAGGAGCATGAAATTGAGTTTTGTGTCTGTATAAAGAAGTTCAACCCGGGACCATGCTATTTTCAAAAAAGATGTTTTACTTGTATTTTGTATGTGTGAAAACCCAAATAAAACTTTATTTAAAAAAAAAAAGACTGAATTGTTTCCTGCCTGTTTCAGTGGCTGTAACAAATGAAATGTTACAGCTGTGGTCCCAGGGAAAATCTGTACTGCTTGGTCAAGTTCAACATGTTGCCGCCTTCCTACCTGCAGTTGTGTTTTAGCTGTGTGTGCCGAGAGGGATATAACTTTCTATTATTCTGGGTTGCCTATAAGCCAGTATCACCTTTTTTTCCTCTCTCTCTCTCTTCTCTGACTCTTGGTTCTCCTTTGCTATCAGTTTGCTGTCCAGAGTCTACTCCAGGCAGCTGATTATGCTGGTCCTGCTCCTTCACCTTCTCAGATGACTCCAATGAATAGGAACAATTATAGTGCATGTAACACCAGTGCAGGGGCCTGGCCCAATCTAGCTGGTCAAAGGAAAATGGCAAAAATGTAGCCATTAACTTTATAAAATTTAATACATGTATAGGTAAATGTCTATGGAGATTCTCAGTCATCCAGGTCACAGTTGTCCCAAAGTTGCTTTTTCAAGAAGCAACTGGACTTTCTTGTTTTTCTTTGAAGATGTTTCACTTCTCATCCAAGAAGCTTCTTCAGCTCTTGGATAATACATGTATGTTTAATGGCATACACAGTACCATTAAGGCTACACTCAAAAGATTTCCAAGGTTCTTTTCCGGCTGAGCGCTTCTTTGTGGCGGCCATTTCTGACCGCCGCTCTACCGCCTTCGGAAAAGGGGGTTTAGCCGGCTAGGGAAGAGAGGTGCGATTTCTTTCGACCCTGCCAGATCCCCGCTATCTTCACCACCTTCTACGGAGGTGGCTAGCCCTGAAGCCAGATGGCTCAGGGCACTCCAGCGGCGAGCGCAGGCAGAAACCGCACATGATCGCAGATTCCTGCCTGCCCTGAAGCGCTGCAAACCGAAGAAAGTGCAGGAGGAGTTGAGAAGAAGTGAAAGATTTTTGCTGACCGGGACAAAGCAACAACGAAGGTATCCTGGAACTTAAAATTCGTGAAAGATATATCGTTCCCAGAGATTTACAAGTGGCGAATGGAAGTTAAAAGGGAAAGTTTTTTTTTTTCCACTCTCCTTCCTAACTTTGACAGCGAACAGAAATGCATGAGAAATTGGAAAAACCCATTTTGGCATTAATAGGTAAACTGGATAATTAAATGCTAAAGGGATAATAAGGATTTCTGAACATTTAAAAAAAAAAAATTTGCTGTAAGTGGGAAGGGAGAGGAAAAGAATTGGAGTAGGATTTGGAAGTAAGGAGGAGATTGCCTAGAATTTTAAAGAATCATTAAATACTAACAAGACTTCTAAAAGATACATTTTAACTGGAACTTTGCAACTAAACAGTAACCCCAGAAAAAGAAAGTGAAGAAAGAAGAAAGTACTAAAAGAAACAGCTTATTTGGATTGTTTGGTGACTTTGGGACTTTTAGAAATTATCTTGGAAGGACTAAAAACACTTGGATGGTTGTTTTGGAAAAAAAAATTCTTTCTACAATGGCATCACTTGTGGATGAATTGAAAATTGAATTCAAAAAATACAAAGAAGAAGAACAAGAAGGGAAAGACTCTCTTGGCACTCTTTTCCAATTCTTAGAAATGGCGATTTGCACTTATGAGAAACTGACTGCGCAACAAGATGATTGGGATAAAGAAGAAGCCATCTTTGATGAACAAGTAACTTTACGTGGGGAAGAAAGGGAGAAGGAGGAAAAGAAAAAGGGGACTTTAAGATTTAAAAAAACAACCAAAAGAGAGAAAAATAAGGTGAAAAGTGGATATAATGTTAGAAAACAACAGAAAGGGGGAATGCAGAAGAAGAAAAGGGAGGTGGAGAGACAAGGGGGTAAAAAGGGCAGGGAGAAGAAGAAGCAAGGGAGGAAGGAACGGATGAGAAGCCTCAATGGTGTGGAGCAAGATGTAAAGAAACAAGATTCATTTAGAGATAATGGGTAAAATTTAATTGAAAAAGGGATTCTGCAAAGGTACATAAGATTGTATTGTTATATTTGTACTTAGAAATAATGTTAGAAAATTGGAAAGAACATGTGATCAAAAAATGGGATAAAATATTCAGTGTAACTTAGTGAAATTTTTGTGAATAAAAGGAAGGCAATGAAATAAATGAGAGAATTGAAGTAGGAGGATATGGGAACATTTTAATGATACAATGATTTAAAATATAAGTGATGTGAAGTGGGGGGGGGGAATAACTATGGAAAGTACAAGTGTTCCCATAAAAGTATGATATTCAATTGAAAAATAATGTGTAAAATGTTTAAGATTTAAATGAATATTAATATTAATGATAGATTTGAATTGGCATGGATAGTTGTTTTAATTATATTATATACTTATAAATTTTTCTTTTTTAAAAATATAATGTGTAACTTTAGAATGTACTAAACAGAATCCCAATGGAAGTTATGTACTATACTAAATGTTATAAATTTAGGGGAAAGAGTTAAAGGCGTCACACTCCAATTAGTGTACAGGAGAAATTTTGTTTAAAGAGAAAAGATAAATAGATAGCTGGAAACAGAACAGACAAAGAATAATAAGCATAATGATCTGAACTGAGATGAGATAAATAAAATAAAACTAAGAAAGTTAAAAGAGGTGAGAAGCTATATAGAAAATGGAAAATGGTAATAAGATATGGAATGGTATATAAAATGAACATGAATTTGAATTTGTGTCTGTATGAAGAGATGTAACCCGGGATCAAGCAGCTTTCAGAAAAGATGTTTTATGTTTTTATGTTTTATGTTTTGTTTGTTTGTGTATTGTCTTTGAAAATTAATAAAATTTGTTTAAAAAAAAAAGATTTCCAAGGTTCATGTATTCAAACACTCAATGGCTGATCTCTTGGAATACTTAATAAACCCTTAGGCTTTGTTATTCCAAAGTATTTTGCAAAAATGTTCCATTATTATGATTTAATTAGAGCCACATGTATTTTCATGGTTGTAGACAGTTACCCACATTTAAATACATTGGAGAATCTTCTAACCACGGTTTCCCCTTTCTAGGGCAGAATGACAACCAAATATGTGAAAGCAAAATCGGTCCAATCTGTTTTTACTCAACAACAAGCAAGCAAGTTACACTGAGTGCAGAGATCCTACAGGGAGGATTTTGTCCCTCGAAAGTTCAAGCAGATTATCAAATGGAAGATTCCAGTCGAGGGGCCGACTGGAATTCTGATCAGATGAGTTGTAGAGCTAGAGAAGCTGGGGGTGTAATTAGAGAAGGGGTGAGCACATGTATCTGGAACACAGCCATGATCTTCTGCCCTCTCCACATCCCTGTTCTTTTTATCCTCTTGTGTCCCAGCAGCATATCTCACCTTTTCTGATTCAGCCTTTCCTGGCTGACTCTGTGCTTTGCCTCCCTTTTCTTTTCTCCAGAATGGTCAGCTTGTAACCCGCAAGATCGATAAATACAATCCCAAGTAGCTAGGATTTTTTTCCTCATATCACAGCTATCCTGATTCTGATGTTCAGTGCCTGTTCCCTAGTTTGCCTTTTCCTTTTGCAGCCTTTGAATATTTCTAGTTATTCCCCTTCAGCTAGCAAAGATAAACCACAACATTTAGCTTTAGTTCTAAAGAGGCAGTTTTATTTCCAAAAGTGTTCACGTGTGATTAAAACTGTACAGCAAATCAATGCAGATTCCAAAGTACGCTACTAAAAATGTTCATTTAAAAAAAAATGTTATCAATGAATGGAAAGTTTGCCTCCCTCACATGGCACTCATAATACAAATGATGAGAACCATGCCTTACAAGTTTATTTTATTGCTAAGAGGCCTGTTTCTTATTTCAAGAAAGATTCATTATTTATGTTCCTCCTTCTAGAGTCCGGTGGGCCATCCTTCACTATCGGCAAGTCGATCTGGCTACTGTGGGCTTTGGTTTTCAACAATTCTGTTCCCATTGAAAATCCCAAAGGCACCACCAGTAAAATTATGGTCCTCATCTGGGCCTTCTTTGCTGTCATCTTCTTAGCCAGCTACACTGCAAACTTGGCAGCATTCATGATCCAGGAGCAATATATTGATACCGTCTCTGGGCTGAGCGATAGGAAGGTGAGAATAATGATGACTATTAATATGGTGTTAAGGTGGTCACCAACATTAATGACCTTGGAGTAAGTCACTGGAAAGATCAATGGTGGCAACTTGATGCCTTCCATTTGTCCTAGAATACCTTGTTATCAGCTGCTGGGAGCTGATGAGCTCAAAGTATGGTTTGGGGGTTTGTTGATGCTGTTTAGGATGCTGATGATAACTAGTGAAGGTTTATGAAGTTGGATTTGGTTTATCTCCAGAGTCATTTTGAATAGAAATCTAGGGCAGTGTGAGGCACAACAGCGATAACTGCTGTCTTCCTGGGGGCTCACAGAGGATCCTGCAGCCATGGGGCTGGTGAGCAGACCTGAAGACCCTCCCCCTTCTTTTAATTAACATTGGATTTTAATAATCTTTGCCTCTTTTTAAAATAGTTTTTATGTTTTAATATTTTATTTGTACACCGCTCAGAATTGCTCTTTGAGAGTGATAAATAAATAAATGGATAAATGCATCAGTAGTACGAGGAGCACACTGGTTCCAAATAGATTTCCAGATTTAATTCAAGGTGCTTGTTATCACCATGGCACAGAGCCAGGTTATTTTTGGAATAGCTTTTCTCCAGTGGTTTCAACCAGGTCCATCGGGATGGGCATGCTCTGGATGCCTATAGGAGAAGGAATGGCAGTCAAGCGAAGAGGTGAAAAGAGGGATCCACCTAGAATCACTACATAGTCACAAATAAAGTCCAACCCCCCCCTTGATGTTCATTGATCCTTATCTAACTCTAAGCAGATTCATGTGCATAAGCTTTTAGCAATAAATCACTTTAATTGAACCTTCACATGTGGACCTGATAGTCCTGAACTATAGATAACCAGATCCTGCTCTGAAAGGACAGGATAAACTGGCTTCCTCAGGTTTTAGGGCCAAGACAGATATGATAGTGTGTGAATTGCTAATAACGTGTGAATTCCCTTGGTTATAATATTAATGTTTATATTATTTTATTATTATTTAATATTTTGTTATTGCATTCTATATAGTTTTATACTGTTTTTTATGAACAGTTTATTGCATTAGTTTATTTGTTAATCACTCATTATTTCTTTCAGATCAATGGCCATATAAATTTTCCAAATAACATCACATAAATAAAAATGAAAAAAAGTCAAAACACAAAACACATGGAGACCACTCAGTTATTTTTCATGAGCATGATAATTGTCAGAACCTGAATTTACATAAATATTTGTTAGCTTTTTTTATCATAGGAAACCAGTCTTTGGAGAATAGCCATGTGAAAACTCATTTTTGGCAAACAGCAAAAATTTCTAAAAATAATGGTCTCTGTATATTACAACAAGCAATTTTCTGGGAAACTATTTGTGCCCCTATATTTGATGTGACTGAAGATAGCAGTTTTTCTTTCTTCATTTTCTTGAATGTATCATGACTCTCTGTAAAATGTAAATGGAACATTGTGGCAATCAAAATTATCAGCTAAAATAAAATAAATGTGTACATAACCTCCTTTTTCAACCTGTAAAATGGAAAGTACACAAGTATGCACACAGCTCTTTCTGAACTAGACTCTAGTGTTGTATAAAATACACCAACTATTTTCTTTTGGTCTTCCTTTCCAGTTCCAAAAACCTCAGGAGCAGTATCCTCCCTTCCGATTTGGAACAGTTCCCAATGGTAGTACAGAGAGAAATATCCGGAGCAATTACCACGACATGCATTCCCACATGGTAAAATACAACCAGCGCTCGGTGGAAGATGCCCTCGTCAGCCTCAAAATGGGGTAGCTTTCTGTTTCTTCATCCTCAAGATTTCTGTGTCCAGTTACATTCCTAACCAGATCTGATTAGGACAAGATTGCTAGTTCTTTTGAAGTAGCACCAACATTGATTTCTAGGATTTAGTCCTTTCAACTTATCGTAATTACTTTGTTTTGGTGAGGAAAAATTTACATAAGCCTTCCAATTTGAGCAGCCTGTCTCTACAATTGCTTTCAAATAATAGGCACATTTATTGAATATAACACCATATTGGTAAGGGTAGCCTGTGGTAGCCTCATCATGTGCTAAGAAAGTTCTTGATGTCCGAACTTCCTATATATAGCTTGTATTTGTGGCATTAACTGCAATGGAACGCCTACCAGTCTTCAGCCTACAGATAGCATTTTTGCCTGCTGTCATATGACACCCTTGCTCCCCTCCCAATCTGAAAATATGCACCTATAAAGAGGCAATCTGATGTCTCCAACAGGAGAGCATATATGTAGCTTAAGGTTGAACTATCAAGTCCTTGGTGCTCTCTGAGCTTGGTTGTTTGCTTGCAGACATTTCATTACTTGCTAGGAAACATAATTAGTGCTAATGAGTGGGGTGTACGACAACTCACCACAGCCAACTTGCCACGGGACAAGAGTTATACTAATATCGAAGAAATAGTGGAATAGAGAAAGGATGCCAAAGGAGAGACAACATGAAATGTGAATGACAAAAATTAAAATAATTTTTACATTATTTTACATAGTTAAATTGAGTTGTTGAATTGTCCTGCAGCAAATTGACCAAGGTGAATTGTTCCTGCAGCAAGTTGGCTGTGGCAAGTTAGCCACAGCAGAATGGCCATGGCCATGGCAGATGGCCGTGACGAGTTGTCCCATTCCATTGTGAGTGTAGGGTTTGCTCCCTATTTATATACAGGAGCTTGCCTATCGATATTAGTGAGGGTGGGGTGTTCTTCTTGGTAGTTTCTTGATTAGGGTTTTGGTAGTACTCTGAATAGGATTAAACAATAATCAACAAAGCAATAATTAATTTACAATTAAGTCTGGTGAGAAGCCCGACAGATAGAATATTTGATGAAAAATGCTAATGGGATGAAAGATGTCTTGATCAGGCTCATATACTCACCTTGCCTAGGGGTCACTCGTTCTATGTGAAGAATGGCCCTGTGGTCTCTAGTCCAAGTTGCAGAAAGTGCACCCTTGTCATTCACTGATACATTCAAACCCAGCAATACCTGATCTACAGCGGGATTGTGCATGCTTTGAAAATGATTTGGAACATGGCTTCGGCCCTCACATGAAGACAAGTATTCATTAACGCATTCTGACTTTTACCTGGCTTTCAAGTGAGCCTGAAGAAGCATTGAGGTTGCCTTGAAATGTTGCCTTGTCTGAGAAGCCTGAAAGCAGGTCATACTCCCTTAAATAACAGAGATATGCTATACTGGTATAAAGCTCAAAACACTTCTTCAGAGTCATTTTAAAAAGGGGGGACGTTCCTATTGTCTAATACAGCCTTTCCCAACTTGGATGGGGTCCCTAGTTTCTTCCTATTGTGTTTCATGGCAATTGTTCCCTAATCTACTTTTTCTGTGTGCTTGATTCCAGAAAGCTGGATGCTTTTATCTATGATGCCGCAGTGCTCAATTACATGGCTGGCAAGGACGAGGGTTGCAAACTGGTAACCATTGGCAGTGGGAAAGTCTTTGCCACCACTGGCTATGGCATTGCCCTCCAGAAGGACTCCAAGTGGAAGAGAACAATTGATTTAGCTCTCCTGCAATTCCTGGGAGATGGTGGGTCGTTTTCTGTTAGTCACACATTGCTAGCTAATATTTAGGAGAAACTACTGCTTCATCCTATTTGTTTTCTTCCAAAATGATTTGCCAAGCTCAGAGTAGAGCTTTTTTTTTACTGTAATATAGAAACATAAAACAAAAGCACAACAACAACAAAAACCCAAACATAAGAACCAAAGGAAAAAGAAAACAACAAAATGATATTATATTACGTATTCTGCAGGGAACATGCAGACCATTTTTGAAACAATGAGTGAAGTAGGGAACATGCTGTCCATTTTTGAAACAATCATTAAACCTTGAACACTTGGAATAATAGTGATGATTTTCCCCCCATTACACTAGCCCATTTATAGATAAAAAGTGAGCACGTATCACAGATTCAAGATTGTAATCTTGAAGCTGCAACTTTCCTACATCTTAGAATAAATTTTTGTGTTGCACCTCAAACTTGATAAATCCATCATTCTTCATATATGATAAATTTATTTATTTATTTTTATTTATTTATTTGATTTGCCAATTGTTTACAAGATAACAAGTATAAATGTATACATAGTTGTGAATACATGAAATGGTCACACATAAGAAAAACAAAAGAACAGGAGAAACAATAGGACAGGGACGGTAGGCACGTTGGTGCGCTTATGCACGCCCCCTACAGACCTCTTAGGAAAGGGGTGAGGTCAATAGTAGACAGTAGTAGAATAGTAGAATTCCATTCTTTTGGTCTATATAGGTAGTCCTTGACTTACAATCACAATTGAGCCCCAGGTTTTTGTTGCTAAGTGAGACATTTGCTTAGTGATTTTTGCCATTTTACAACCTTTCTTGTCACAATTGTTAAGTGAATCACTGCAGTTGTTAAATTAGTAACAAGGTTGTTAAGTGACAAATGGCTACTCCTACTCTCTCGGTGGTCATTTGCAAATATACTGTTCACATAGTTTAATGAAAAGAAGGACTGGGGGGTGAAAAGATAGCAGTGTTCCAGTATCTCAGGGGTTGCCACAAAGAAGAGGGAGTCAAGCTATTCTTCAAAGCACCAGAAGACAAGATAAGAAGCAATGGGTGGAAACTAACCAAGGAGAGAAGCAACTTAGAACTAAGGAGAAATTTCCCGACAGTTAGAACAATTAATCAGTGGAACAACTTTCCTTGAGAAGTTGTGAATGCTCCAACACAGGAAGTTTTTAAGAAGAGATTGGATAACCATTTATCTGAAATGGTATAGGGTCTCCTGCCTGAACAGGGTTGTACTAGAAGACCTCCAAGGTCTCTTCCAACTCTGTTATTCTGTTACCTAGATGGTAACAGATGGAAATAAAAGTAGCTCCAAAACTTCAGCAAAATGAACTTCATTAAAATGGAAAGGATTTACTTCAGCTATTTTATTTTCCTATTACAGTAACACAATGGTTATGAAAGGCATCATTAGTTCTTATTTCCTAACATAAGGGCTAAATGTTGTCCTAGACACCAACATGCATTTTGCCCATTCTGTATTTTCCTCTTACCTCAATTCTGGTGCTGAATGTTGATGATGAATTCCTTAGTCATTGGAGAAAATGTTGAAAAGTTTTTGGAAAACTGTTCTCCGCCCTGCAAATATTCATATTAAATGAAGCCAAACTCCTGCCAGTTCCCTGAAAAGGCCTTTCTCTCTCTTCACTTCAGTAGAAATTAAATTTTCCATTACTTCAGCAGCTTTGATAAGTGGCTGATATACTATAAGTAAGCATGCAAGCATATGCTTAGTACCTGAGGAAGTTTAGGAGAAGACTTTTATTAACCGGCAACAGAAATTTTGGGCTCATTTGTGGTCGTAAGTTGAGGACTATATGAAGGCAGAAGGCATCTTGATAAATCAAGAATATGCAAAGTGTTAATACCACTTTGTAATGCTTTGGTAAGGCCACGCTTGGAATATTGCATCCAGTTTTGGTCACCACGATGAAAAAAGGATTGAGACTCTAGAAAGAGTGCAGAGAAGAGCAACAAAGATGATTAGGGGACTGGAGGCTAAAACATATGAAGAATAGTTGCTGGAATTGGGTATGTCTAGTTTAATGAAAATGAGGACTAGGGGAGACATGACAGCAGTGTTCCAATATCTCAGGGGCTGCCACAAAGAAGAGGGGGGTCAACCCATTCTCCAAAGCACCTGAGGGTAGGACAACAAACAAGGATGGAAACTAATCAAGGAGAGAAGCAACCTAGAACTAAGAAGAAATTTCCTGACAGAACAATTAATCAGTGGAACAACTTGCCTCCAGAAGTTATGAATTCTCCAACACTGGAAGTTTTTAAGAAGAGATTGGACTATCATTTGTCTGAAATGGTATAGGGTTTCCTGCCTAAGCAGTGGGTTGGACTAGAAGATCTCGAAGGTCCCTTCCAACTCTGTTATTCTACTCTACTCTACTCTACTCTACTCTACTCTACTCTACTCTACTCTAACTCCTTGGAATCCAAATGGAAGTCCTATTGCAATTCCTGTTTCTAGGGTTCTCACTTGCTCACTGTGCAAACACAATGCTGAACTAGGTATGCCTTTAGATCTAATCTCCAAGGGGTCTCTGATCTGACCAGCATGAGCACTGGATATATCCTAGTTATCAGCAGTGGTCTATTAAAAAAAACAAACCACTGACTCCTGCTTGCCAGGGTGCCATTCCTGTGAAAGAGACACTAAACTAAGTTAAAGGCAAAGATAGATTTAACAAATAGACAATGCATGCACACAGGTGACTTTTATATATTCAGTTATATACTTTAATATTTTCAGGTTTTAGAAACATGCTCTGGTTTGAACTACAGCTTTATTTGATTGAAGCTTTCAATACAGCAATGCGTTCCAGAAAAAGTCTGTCTTGGAAGCTGTCCAAGACAGTTGTCAATTTAATTGAGAGTACCACTACATTCGGTATGTTTTCAATATTTGGTTCAGATACAGAGATTTGACTTCAACTCAGAGCTTCATGTCTATTGCTTTTAATCTTCTGATTTAAATGAGAGACTGGCAGTCAGGATAATGAGCCGGTCACTACCCATTCATGCTGTTCCACTGATCTAAAAGGCTGCACCTGCCAGGTGCTCACAGTTGTGAACTCCATGGGAATGAAGGAAGATGATAGCTACACTCTTGTTCCCTTGAACATTTGCACTGCTTGGAAGTTAAAACTTGAAATCATAATTGTGTTTTGCCTGAATCATTAGTTCAGCCACATAAATCCCTCTTAGTTCAATTCTAATTGTCACTATACAATTAGAATGCAAACATCAGAGGAGAAAAAACAAAAACAAGCAAATACGATGCACTGTAGGAGAAGAAGCTACTACCACGTATTTTTTTTTCACCTCAGATCTGGCCATGTTAAAAAGGTCACTTTGCGCAGACATAAAAAAAAAAAAAAAGCTAATAGCAAAAAAGCTTTTCAAAACAGGACAATACTTTCCCCCCTCTTTTCTGTGAAATTTGTGCACCCCAAGCATCATTTCCGCCCCCAGAAAGGTTAAAGAGTTGGTCCACGAAGGGATAATGTTTAATGTCAGATGGATTCTTTAGCTAGAAGTATTCCCTCTTCTACCTTTGGTCTGTTTGTGTGTCGTTTTGCAGGTGAAACCCAAAAACTGGAGACGGTGTGGTTGTCTGGCATCTGCCAAAATGAAAAGAATGAAGTGATGAGCAGTAAGCTAGACGTTGATAACATGGCGGGGGTCTTTTATATGCTGCTGGTGGCGATGGGGCTGAGCCTGCTTGTCTTTGCTTGGGAGCACCTGGTGTTTTGGAAGTTGCGGCATTCCGTGCCAAAGTCCCACAGACTTGATTTCCTTCTAGCTATAAGCAGGGTAAGTAATGTTTCTGCACAGGCAGTTTATTGATTCATTGTTTTTTTATTGCATTTTTGTGTTGCCCAAATGCCATCCCTATTGAGGGCCCACAAGTAAAATCAATCATAATCATAATCATATCAAGGAATTGCAGCTTCCTGCAATAACACCAGCAGAACTGCAATACTTAACACATTATACATTTTAAGAAGATACGTGGTTAATATCTAGGATGCTGGCAGCAACCCGTATCAACCATCAGTGCCAGTCAATGATATTTGCAATACATTTTTAAATGTTTAGTTGACTGAGTTTCATGCTTAATGAATAAAAGAGATGGCAGTTGTGATTTCACATTTTTGTGTGCAAGTAGTCCTTGACTTACTATCACAATTGAGTCCAAAATTTCTGTTGCTAAACAAGACAGTTGTTAAGTAAGTTTTGCCCCATTTTATGACCTTTCTTGCCACAGTTGTTAAGTGAATCACTGCAGTTGTTAAGTTAGTAACATAGTTGTCAAGTGAACCTGGCTTCTTCATTGGCTTTGCTTGTCAGAAGATCACACGAAGAGATCACATGATGCCAGGACACCGCAAATGTCATAAATACTTCATACATAAATAATTGCCAAGCATCCAAATTTTGATCTTGTGACTGTGAGGATGCTGCAATGGTCATAAGCGTGAAACACGGTCATGGGTCACTTTTTTCAGTGCCATGCAACTTTGAATGGTCCCTAAATGAATGGTTGTAAGTTGATATGTACTACCTGTATATAATAATAAACCAAAATAAAGATTGACAGAGATAACGAAAGCCGGACAGGGATGGAAAAAGAAACAAATCCACCCTATTGAAGGAGACTTCATTCAACCTGGCCAAAGGCCTGGGAAAAGCAGCAGATCTTCAAAGCAGGAGTAGAATGGGGGCTGCCGAGGTCTTGGTGTGGATGAAAGTGCTGGCCTTGAAATCGGGAAGATTGATAGTTCTAGTCTTCTGTTAGGCATGAGAGCCAGCTCCGTAAACTTCCGGCTATTTATTTCTCTCAATCTGACCCATCTCGTGGGGCAGGAGGTGCAATTGTCCTAGGGAAAATAGGAGGCGGGAAGCAACATTATGCAAGCAGCCTTGAGTTGCACAAATAAAAATGTGATACAAATCTAATAATCACACTAATTATAATCAAAATCCTTCTTCCATTCCCCCAGGAAATGCTCTATATTTATAGGGATATTCTTTTGTATAAATGTTCATTAAAAAAGAACAAATTAAATTATTCATTCATTCATTAGATTTGCATTCCACCTACTGTTCAGCGTGCTCCTCTTTCCACAACGATTCTGAGGCCGAGTTCCACATATTGCACATACTGCGATAATGTAGGGATTCAGCTGCTGTGACTTATGAAACATGACTTATAGTTCAACAATCTGTGCAGACTCCACTAACTGTGGTTCATCTGGTAAACCATGACTAAACCATGGCTTAGCATGAGGTGTAAACCCACCTTGACAGATAGATTAAGCTGGAAGAGAGCAATTCCTCCAAGGCACCAGTTCCCAATTCAATAGCCTCATCACTTCACTGCATGCTATTTTTTTTATTTTAGGGGTAACATCACCTTACATAGGGTAAGTTCTATGCTAAAATTGACTTCACATATTAACTATATTTTAGGATGCTTTTCATTTTCTTCTTTTCAACTTTTATAATAATATAATTATATATATAATGGTTTTGCATTAGGTCCCCAATTTATACATAAATTATAATTTTGTATCATAAAAACAACTTGATGTAATACGCTTAGTATCTTTTACTAAGGTCATACTGAGCATTGATGTATAACTTCAGTAATTATCTACCCATTTCTAGATACTATCTTTTTTGCAAATACGTTTTTTTTAAAAATGAAAATGAAACAAGTTTGTGGATAAAAATAGAATTTTAAAAATGGCTAAACAACAGGACATCTAGCAAAACATTAATGGCATCATCAATGTGTTCAAACACTCTAGGCTCCGAGTTGCCAAGACATTCCATCAAAAAGCAATTTTTTGACTCTTGCCAATGGGAGCACACGTATTCCTAACAACTCTGTTTCTCTCTTTAAAAGGAAATTAATTTTTATTTCCCATATTTTGGTTAAAATATTCTCAAATCATTGTGTGTGTGAGTGATAGGGGATTTGTTATTTTCCAGATGCAAAATTCCCCGTTTTTGAGACCTTTGGGTCTCCAGAGAGATCCACAACAAGAGGTGATACTTAAATGTCAGTTTATGGACTAAGGGCTTAAATTGATGGGCTACTTTTTCAATAGTCTGCTTGGATTGGAAATTGTAATTAAAGCAAAAAAAAAAAAAAACCTTTGGAGCAGAACTGGCTGGGAATTGTGGGATAATCATGTGGCAAGATGAGTAGCAAATAAATTTAATAGAGTAAATAATAATTTAATAATAAATAATAATAAACTTGGTTTTTCTCTCCAGTTCCTTTGTCAGCAGTTTTAGGTCTGTCTAGTCAAAGTGCTGCCATAAATCAATTAAATGCACTTTAACTAACTGATGCATAAGGGGCAATCTTATTTGTTATTCAATCACTTGTCCATCTTCCACATAAGGCCTCCTGTTGTCTCTAGGTGTTTTAAATTTTATTAAACTTGTGACAGCCTAAATGCTTAGTAAGAGTTCTCATGAAATTGTGTGAATAATAGCAGTCTGATTCCAAACAATTCAGTAATTTTAGTAGGTAAGAAGATACTTTGGCTGTTTTCACTCACAGCAACATGCATAGAAGTAAAGAGCTGCAAATGATGAATGTTTTAGGCAATACAATTTTATACAAACTAAAATGATTGCCAGTTCAGATGATGCAATAAAATCTGGAAGCTGACTACGGGAATTACTCCTGTGCATATAAGACCCAAAGATTTTCACTGTTTATAACTTGTCATATTTTTAAGTACAAAATTTTTCATCCAATATCTCAACTACTGTATGGTTACATTGGGCTTCTGGTGTTTGGGCAAGTCCCCAAAAACTTATTCTAAACTGCTTTTGGAGAGTTTTCAGCCTTACTAATAATCCCATCCTAACAAACATCCCCGGTATAGATTCATGAGGTGGAATCTGTTGTTAGAATTTCTAAAAACAAATTAGAAAGGTGCCACTAATATTAATTTGTGTGAAATGTATTTGAAAATAAAGTAATTAGAAAACAGTTTCCACAATTACTAAGAAAGAAAACAATCATGCTTATTGAACAAGAATTTATTTGCTTGTTGAGTGCTCTTACATTTATATTGCATATGGACTTTCAAGTCCTTTTGTCTTTTCCATTATAAACACCTTAAATAAGCAATAAAAACACAATAAAAATACTTACGTTTCAAGTCATGCGTAAATAGAAACCAGACAGAAAATAACTATTTGTACAATGTCTGTTTTTACCTATTAAAACACTAATTCCCTGTGTTGCTAAATGCTTTAAATACCTAAATTAAACTCATGTATTTGAGAAGTTGTTTTCTGAATTCTAGTTACATGAAATTTCTTAACCAGCCACTAGATTCATTGCATCTCATAACAATCATTATTAGGGTCCTCAAGGAATATTTTACAAAATTTAATTAAGCAGCAAACACTTTAAAATACAGAATGAAGACAGTTATGAAGCTAACAACTAGAACACAAGATTCCATACTGAGAGATAAACAGAAGATGGCTTCATTATACTACAACATCTGCCTGAATGAGCAGCTCATTGCAGAAGAGGGAACAGTTCTTTCTAATCAGTATTTAGTGAGCTGTTGTGTCTTCATTGTGGAATCAAGATTTTCCACATGACCAACAATTGAAAAGAAATTTAAAAAAAGTTTTGTTCAATCTTCCCTAACTAATTTTAGTAGAAAATCCTTTCTCTAAATCTCCCTATTTCAAGGATGAAGAATCTAATATACAGGTTTATATGGTTTTAGCACTTAGTTTTGCTCAGATAAAGGAAATTATTCAATATTTATGAGTCCTCACTATGGAAAAAAAAGATTACTTTAGTATCATCATGAGTCATTCCTTCCCCCCAAAAAATTGTCATTCTTTTCTTGTTTCATCTTGTATTCCCAGGGTATTTACAGCTGTTTTAATGGAGTCCAGAACCTGGAGAGTCCTGTTCGTGTTTACAAACCAGATGTCACTGCTAACTCTGCTCAAGCCAATGTGCTTAAGATGTTGCAGGCAGCCAAGAATATGGTATCCACAGCCGGTGTTGGGAACTCACTGGAAAATGCTACACGCACTATAGAGAACTGGTCTAGTAGGAGTGAAAACTTCCAAACCACTTTCTCCTTAAGAACTCCCCAATTTGTGATTCAAAACACTAGTGGGTCAAACAGGCCGGCTCATTCCTCCAACACTACAACAACTGAGAAGCTTGGGAGGAACCTTCCGCCCTTGCTTCTGCCACCTCAGCAAACTATGGGACCAGCCAGTGAAAGCTGCGGAGAGACAATTGAGCACCCACCGATACTTCATCCACTGAAATTAGGAGGCAACTGCTCTGAAGATAAGATTATTCCAGGTTTTGCTGTGTACCACTCTCCACAGTATTTGGTAACCACATCTCAGGCTAACCTCAGAAAACACATTGAAAGTCCCCTTAGTGATGCTCCTCGTTCCCCAGTCAGGACTCTTCAGGAACTTTCTCTGCATAACCATAAGTATAAGCTCCCTGTGTCCAGAGGCCATGGGAAACAGCAATTCCATCAGAATGATCACCTGTATAAAGAAGGTGAGCATAGCAGTGCAACCCAGGAGTCAAGGCTAGCTTTCTCTTCTGAGAAGAAAAAGAATTTGGAAACTCACTACTGGCCTCATCCCTGTTTATATAATTCTTTCCCAAAGGACAACAGAACTTGTAGGCCCTTTGTCCATAAAGAATATGACCCACTAGAGATGAGAAGAGAAAAGGAGACCTATGCAGCTAGCCTTTCAAGATCAACCTTGGAACAGCATGAACAGATCCATTCTCTAGGCATCTGGGAGCATCCACCAAAGTGTTCCAGTTCCAAGGATGTCCTGGACTTCTTTCCCAAAGCTAGCTTGATCCCCAAAGCAAAACTGCTGCCTGGGATTCATCATGGAGTCCACCACCATTCTCCCAACGCCCTTAGGCCAAGCAACGCATGCAATAAGAAATGTATGCAGGCCGATCATATAAGTTGGAAGGAGAAAGAGCTACTACATTCACAATCTGTGCAGCTCCCTTCCTATCGAGAGGCTTGTCTGCAGAACGTCTCAGGCATACACAGGGCTTCTTCAGCTGTAGTGCAGAAGCAATATGCTTACGTGAACTCATACCCAAATCTACCGATTTATTGGAGAAGCTTTCATCCAGGCTCTTCTCACCTATGTGAACAATCCAGTGCCACCGAGCACTGTTTCAGTCAGGCATCCTGGCCCCCATGCAGCGGGGATTTCTTGGTCCATGAGGATGGCCGGAGGGCCATGTACTTTGGTAGCACACAGAGAGACTGCAGAAATCAGAGCAGGGTTTATCCAACATTTATTCAGATGGCCGACACTGCGAGGAGAAATACGTCAACAACTCCAAGGATGCACAGCCCTTGTGCAACAAGATCATGGAGGTGGATATCTAGCCTAGAATCTGAAGTCTGACAGTGGAAAAAGGCAGGGGTGGGCTGGGGAGAGGATGATGCGAAGAGTGCCTGCACTTGATGCATAACTTATCAATCCCATGCATAAGAAACCACTTCTGTGGGCACTCCAGAAATAGGCTCGTATGGGCGGATGACAAACCATCTTAAACGATCGATCTCCTTCTCCCTGTTGTAGCAGTACCAAGAAAAAGTCATGGTCTCTTCTGTACACTCAAGAGCAAGGGACCTTTCTCTTTTCTCTCCTGCTGGAATTAAGATCAAAGCAACACTCAAAGCCCAGTCGAAGGCACTTTAAGGACTGCGTTCCAAAGTCTTCCATTGCTGAGCACTGGAGCGCTCATTCCATGCAAAAGGCTCCTGTGGTAATTCGCAGCATGCAGCCTCTCTGTGGATAGCTTAAGACGCATCGATTCCATCTACATCGCAGTGCCAGCTATTTTTCAGAGCATGCTGTCCATGACTCAGCTGGAAACGGCCAACAGCATCCTAATAAAAATTAGGACTATCTTGTTTACCCCTATGCACTGATAGAAATGGAACTATAGAAATGATTAACAGGCAAATACTATATTTTTAGTGTTTTACAGTACTCTCTGATTCTTCATAAAGAGCCTCAAATGCCATGTCTTGAAATGTATTAACTTCCCCTTTCTTTTTTCCATGTAGCTGTTCGCTGCATTGGCTAATCTTGTCTTTTACACCATCCCTAAAAGAGTAAAAAGGCTTTTTTGCCGTTTTAAAAGTACAGCATCATAAAAAAGGTGTATTTAAAACAATAGCCGCTATTGCCTCATCAAATTTGAACTGCAGAGCAAATACAGGTGACAGGAAAGTACTTGTGAGAATGTTGTTGTCTCATTATGCAGACTATTCTGGATTCATGCAGGTGTCTTACTCCCAGAGCATGACTAAAAATTCAAATTCAGGCAGAAATATTCTTATTTATCAAGAAGGCATTAGAAGAAGCCGCTCTGTAGCTTCCCAGCTTCGGATGAGGTATTTGTAGTAGCCTAGTAAAGGCTCCCATGTTTAAGGGATCACCAGAGAGGCATTTAGCGGCCCTGTTGACTGTTTTTTTGTTTAAAAAAAAAACTATTTATGTTAACAGCAAATGCAGGCTGGCTTATTGGTTTGCAAATAAAAGGAGCTCACCAACATACAATATATATTTGGAGAATTCCAGAAGCATGCTGAAGCTTATAGCTGTAAATTAAAAGACAAAGGTTTGGGGTTTAAAAAAGAAAAGAAAAAACTAAGGGAGCCAACAAGAACTCCAGAACTAATGGGATGCTTGATGATAGACACTTGAGCCTAGAGAAAAATAAGCAGGCAAACAATGGGAAGCTATTACACTCACGCTGTCTGTGGACAGAATTGCAAAAAGGAATGTTATTTTTTGCTACTATTTTTTGTTTAGGGATGGGAAAACTTGTATTGCTTAGATCTGTAATGGCAAACCTATGGCACGCAGAGCCATTTGTATGGGCATGCGAGCCCCAGCCAAATTTAACTGCACTGCGCATGCGCGCGCTTCCTAGCTGATTTTCAGCCTGTTTGAGGCCGTTTTCGCCCTCCCAGGGGCTCGAGGGAAGCCTCTGCAGCCTCGGGAGGCTGAAAAGCGGGCCTTCCGGAAATACCAGAAGTGCCCGAAATGGGAGGGCGAAAACGGCCTCAAATGGGCCAAAAGTCAGCTGGGAGGCGCACACATGTGCAGTGGAAGTGAGGGAGCAGGGTGGGGGTGTTGTGTGCACATGCGTGGGGGGTGGGGTGCATTGCATTGTGGGTGCCAGCACGCACGCATGCGCACTATCTCGGGCACGCATGCTTTCAGCACAGCACAAGAAAAAGGTTCGCCATCACTGGCTTAGATCCTTGCCCCTGTGGGTAAGCTGCTCCAGAGGAGAGGGCCATGGGAGACCTGCTTGCTGAAACTATGCAGGAGGAGGCACCCATCGCCTCCACATTCTGCTGGCTCTTATCAGATGGGCCTATGCCACTCAGAGCAGACAGTCCTGCAAGATAGCCAGTCTGAAGCCAGATAGGGCTTTGCAGAAGATAATCCACACCTTAAATTGTCCCAAAGGTGCTTTTCCAAAAGGCAACTGGACTTTGTTTTTCCTTTTTTTATTTATTTATTTGATTTGCCAATTGTTTACAAGATAATAAGTATAAGTCTATACATAGTTGTGAATACATGAAATGGGTACAATATAAGAAAAATAAAAGAAGAATAAGAGAAACAATAGGACAGGGACGGTAGGCACGTTGGTGCGCTTATGCACGCCCCCTACAGACCTCTTAGGAAAGGGGTGAGGTCAATAGTAGACAATCTAAGGTTAAAGTTTTTGGGGTTTGGGGAAGAAACTACAGAGTCAGGTAGAGTATTCCAGACATTGACCACTCTATTGCTGAAGTCATATTTCCTGCAATCAAGTTTGGTGCGGTTAACATTGAGTTTGTATCTATTGTGTGCTCTTGTGTTGTTATGGTTGAAGCTGAAGTATTCATTGACAGGTAGGACATTGCAATGTATGATTTTATATACCATGCTTAAATCAGACCGAAGACGGCGTAATTCAAGGTTTTCTAGTTCTAGAATTTCAAGTCTGGTGGCATAAGGTATTCTACAACGAGTAGAGGAGTGGAGAACTCTTCTTGTGAAATATTTCTGGACTTTCTCAATTGTGCTAATATCAGATATGTAATGTGGGTTCCAGACTGATGAACTGTATTCGAGTATTGGTCTAGCAAATGTTTTGTATGCTCTGGTTAGTAGTGTGATATTACCAGAGAAAAAGCTACGTAAGATTAGGTTAACAACTCTTAATGCCTTTTTGGCTATGTAGTTGCAGTGGGCTCTAGCACTTAGATCATTAGAGGTGAGTATTCCAAGGTCCTTTACAGAGCTTGGGTCATCAACAAGATCTTGACTATTCCGCTTGTATTTTATTTTCTGATTTTTTTTTGCCAATATGTAAGACAGAGCATTTATTTGTTGAGATTTGAAGTTGCCATTTGTTTGACCATTCTGATACATAGTCGAGATCTTTTTGTAGGGTAGCAGTATTGTCTGTGGTATTGAACAGCTTTACATCATCAGCGAAGAGAACGCAATTGCTCTTAATATGATCACAGAGGTCGTTTATGTAGAGTATGAAGAGAGTTGGTCCTAGAACACTGCCTTGGGGGACACCACTATTGACAGGTACAGAATTTGATAGGACGCTCCCAATTTTGACCATTTGTTGTCTGTTTGCCAGGAATGCTTCTATCCAGTTATTCAGTTGTCCAGAGATACCATAGGATTTTATTTTTAGGAGTAGTTTGTCGTGTACCACTGAATCAAAGGCTTTACAGAAGTCTATGTAGATTGCGTCTATTGCTTTGCCCTGGTCGAGTTGTGTCATCCATATGTTTTTGCAGTGTAAGAGTTGCAGATTACAGGATAGTTTTTTTCTGAAACCAAATTGTTTATTGGAGAGTAAGTTGTTTGTCTCTAAGTGGAGGATGATGGATTGGTTAATAATTGATTCCATGACTTTACAGGTGACGCAGCATAAGGAGATTGGTCTGTAATTTTCAACTAGGCTTGGGTCTCCCTTTTTGAAGATGGGGATGACTGTGGCTTGTGACCATAGGTTAGGCAAGGAGCTGGTCCTGAAGGATTTTTCAAAGATTATGCTTAGAGGTTTGGCTATGGCAGTGGATAGCTTTTTTAAGAAGTAGGCACATATTCCATCCGGTCCAATAGATAGAGATGGTTTTAGATTGCGTAGTGCTTTTTCAACATTGTCTTCTGTAAAATCGATATGTATTAGATCATTGTTGTTATCTGTGGTACGGCTAGGAAATACTGGGCATGATCCATTGCTGTTTACAAATACTGAGCCGAAGAATGTGTTAAAGAGGTTGGCTTTAATGGTGTCGTCGTTGCAGTCTTTACCATCAGGTCCTATCAAGGGTGGGATGGACCTTGAGTCTTTTAGTTTGTTTGAAGGAAGTCCAGATGCCTTTTGAAAAAGCACCTTTGAGGCAACCATGACTTGGATGGCTGAGAATCTCCATAGACATTTAGCATCTTAAATTCCACTCAGAAGCTGTCTGGCAATTAACAGCAGTTCTGCAGCAGTGGTGTTACCAACTGTTACATGGCTAAAGCAGGCTTCACTTGTTAACTCTGTGCAGCTGGATTTTGAATTAGCTGTAGCTCCCAATTGGCCCTCAAGGGCAGCCCCATATAGAGCAAATTACATTCGTCTTGTTATGAAGTGACAAGAGCATGAATTACTTCAGTAAAACCTGTTCTTCCATGAAAGGCCGCAACTAATGTACCAGCTGAAGCTGGAAAGGGACTCTTCTGCCATGACTTCCACTGTTATTACAGCAGGAGTCTTAAGCACAGGAGAAGCTCCAGGTTGCATCTCCACAAGTGGAGTACAGCTTTGTTCTAGAGCAGGGCTGTCAAACTCACAGCACACGGGCCGGATGCGTCACATGCTGGCCGCCCCCATGCCCGGTTTAGTAAGGGGGGGAAAGTCCCGATAAATCACATGACACCGCCGTGACAACATGAGTTTGACACCCCTGTTCTAGAGTCAGTTGGATTTTCTTTTTCTGGAATCGGAAGACTTTTAACTCAACACCCATTCCATCTTGCTGGGATTAAACCCAAACTTTCTTTCCCCTTCCAAATTTTAACAGTTTACAGGCACCAGATCAGGCCTTAGCGTTGCCTGTTTGGTTCAAGGTGTAGGTATGCAACTGGATTATCACCAGCATATTAAAGATGCCAGTAGGGGATCTCCCCTAGAAACTTTGGTTAGACATTAAATAATAAGAGGCACCAAGTGCCCCCACATGCTCTGGAAGGAAGAGAATCATTACAGCCCACTCCTAACCTTGCAGGTAATCTAGAAGAATATCTCAATTAATGGTAGTGAAAACTGTCAAGAGGTCTGACAGGACCAGAAACACTATCCTCTTCCCATGCAAGTCATG